GGCGGGCTTGCGCTTCTCCTTGACCGGCGGCGGCGGCGGCAGCGCGAGCTCGACCGTCTTGGCCTGCTTCTTCTCGGGGCCGGACGGCGGGGTTGGGAGGTGCTGCTGCTGCCATTCTTCAACGCGGACGCCTTGGGCGCGGCGGGTTTAGAGGCGGGTTTGGAGGCGGGTTTGCGGGTGTCCTTGGGGGCGCTACTGGCCGGCGGGCTCGTGTCGAGGTGCTCGAACTGTTGACGCAGGCGTTCGGGGTCGGTGGTCTCGGGGGTACGGGTGAGGTTCATGTTAAAGGTCGAGTCGACGCGGTCGAGGATGAAGGCCTTCTTGGCGTCGTCGAAGTAGAGGACATATTGGTTACTGTCGGTGGAGCGAGTTCCAGCGTAGCCATAGGTGCCGCCGGCGTCGCTGTACGAGAGCTCAAAGTTGTCTCTGGTGCCGGGGGTTTCGGGTTTGAGCCTCGCGAGGGCAGGTGCCTGGTCGGAGGACAGCTGGGGCTTGTGGTTGTCTGGTGGGCTTTGGTCAGCTTCTACTTTCCGACAGCAGGAGAGGGAGCTCGTTCGTTCGATGCCGATTTGGGGGAAGGAAGCGGAAACGTACATCGTACGCTGGTGAAGACGTCCTTCTGGGTGCGGCCGAGGAGGGTATCACTCAGCAGCACGGGGTATTTGCCCAGCTTGGTGGGGTCAATGAGACCGTTTGCGATGCCATTTGCGAGTCCAGCGGCGATGCCAGACGAGCCGTGCTTGGAAGCCGCCTTCTCCCTCTGGTTTGGGCGGAGGGCAGACATGGTGCTCGGTGGGCGAGGGCGTTGATGGAAGTGGTTGAACAGCGTTCGCGAGGGAGGAGGCCGGCGACGAGTCGTGCTACAAGTACCATGAGGGCCAGAGCCAGAGCCAGAGCCAGCGACAGCAGCGAGGCCAGCGCCAGCGCCAGCGCCAGCGCCCATGTCCATCCCAGGCGTGGTGGTACTTGTAGGGGTCGGGCCCCTGGGGACAAGATCCGCACCACTAGACGCAGCCGGGTGGGGTGCCATGGGGGCCGTCAGTGAGTGGAGGCGCGCCTGGGCTCCCACCACCCGCGTGGTTCTTTACTAAGAAGTAAAAGCGGGAGATGGACAGGTCGCTCGCTTTCTGCTGAAT